CCCCCCCCCCCCCCCCCCCACACTTATTATTAGTGAGGCATGCTAACAGGCCTGAGTAAGTTCAGCATGTAACCTGCATCAGAGCTGACGGTCTCTCTCTCTCTCTGATCCAGACTATATGGACGGAGAGGGGGACTGGAGTAACTGGACAGCGTGCAGCGTCACCTGTGGAAACGGCAACCAGAAGAGAACCAGGTCGTGCGGTTACGCCTGTACAGCCACCGAGTCCAGAACTTGTGATATGCCCAGCTGCCCAGGTAAAGTCTTGATTTTGGATAACAGAGAGAAAACAATTCCACCAGTAGTCTTTTATCTTTGATCCACTTATCACTGTGCATTCATCTCTCTAAAGGTATTGAAGATGCCTTCAAGACGGCAGCTACTGAAGTGAGCCTGTTAGCTGGAACAGATGAGTTCAATGCCACGGAGCTCTTTGGTGTTGGTAAGATTCTACTCTTGACCTATCCCTCAGACTATCCCTCATTCAGATACTCATGCACTATCAAAAACAGTTCACCCATCTGGCAGCAGTGTCCCTGCACACACTTAGCATTCCTCATGCTCGGGCTGCGCTCCATTTCTGCGCAGAGATGAAGATGTTCAGCAGGGCAGGAAGAACACAGTGTGCAGCTGCCCAGTCTCTCTTTGTCTGTCTGTTCGTAGTCAACTCAGTAAAAAACACACTTTTATCAACACCTTCTCCCACTTTCATCTGCTAACGTTCGGGAGGTAATGCAGCATTTGATGGTGTCTTCATTTCTTCCAGACACGGACAGCTGCGAGCGATGGATGAACTGCAAGAGCGACTTCTTGAAGAAGTACATGACCAAGGTGGCCAACGACCTCCCCAGCTGCCCTTGCTCTTACCCAACCGAGGTGGCGTACAGCACAGCAGACGTGCACGACGCTCTCACGCTCCGAGATTTCCGCTGGAAGGACGCCAGCGGGCCGAAAGAGAAGCTGGAGATCTACAAGCCTACGGCCCGCTACTGCATCCGCTCCATGCTGACGCTGGAGTCCACCACGCTGGCGGCGCAGCACTGCTGCTACAACGACAACATGAAGCTCATCACTCGCGGCAAAGGGGCCGGCACGCCCAACCTCATCAGCACCGAGTTCTCAGCCGACCTGCACTACAAGGTGGACATCCTGCCCTGGATCATCTGCAAAGGAGACTGGAGCCGCTACAACCAGGCCAGGCCGCCAAACAACGGGCAGAAGTGTCCCGACAACCCTCAGGACGAGGACTACTACAAACAGTTTGAAGAAGCAAGAGAATTCTAGACAGCTGTAGCGTGAAAAGGAAAAAAACAACAACAACAAACACACAGTGCTTAAGTATTCAGCTAAACCTCAAAAATGGTGCTGAAACCATTTTTAAATTCTATTTTAGATCTAGTAACACAAGAACTTTTAGGCTCTGAGGAACAAGACTTACTGCGCTTTGAAGCAAGAGGAATAGAAATCCAAGAGTCAAGACACTTACTTGCTCACAAGGAACTTTTCTTGACTTCACCAAAACAAGGCAAACAACGTTGCTCTGTTTAAAAAAATTAAAGAAAAAACTTTGTTTAAATAAAATGTGCCTCTAAAAAAATTATTGAACATGTTGCCAGTAAATGCATCACCAATAATTACTTGTTCAGATCTGGTCACTACAGGGAGAACTGAGTTAGTATTCTTAAAAAGGGAGAATTCTGATTCCAGGAATGTTCGTTTAGATTGTGTCCTCGTTCGTCTCCATAGATGTTTATGTTTCGGTGAATCTGAGAGGCCTGTGGTAATAGAATAATGAGATCCTTCGGGAATGTGTTGGGACAGACAATAGGGTTATCTCATTTTCTCCCGTTTTGTCATTCACAATATCCAGGTTCTCCTGTAAGCTCGTGAGTTTATTTAGCATGCACATTTTTTACTTGTACCATTAATTTACAGCCGTGTTCCCTTGTGTCTCTGTGGCAGATCTTTATTGTAAAAAGCCTGCATTATTTTTGTAAAGTATTTATTAAGTTGTAGCTGTGTCTGAGTCGGGTGGCTATGACTGTGGTTTCTGATTCAAATGTGGCTGAATGCTAACTTGAGATTCCTCTCTAGCTCAAACTTTGGCATCCATGTGCATATTCGTGTCTCAAGTTAGGATTAAACCGTCATCGAGTGCAAAGAATGTGAGAATTCAACTGTATGGAAAGATTTTTGAGATATAAATCTATAAATAAATTTTCAAAAAGGCTATGACTGTGTTGCTAGAAAAAAAACAATCTTCTTCCATCAGCTGCTATTAGATTTCTCTCCTGCTGTCGAGGGAATTTCATCTGCGGGAAAAAGGTCTCCTCCAACAGGCATAAGCCAGTGCACAAGACTTCCATTAGTTCCATCCAGTGTGGCTTAATCAGAGGGCGAGAGGGAGAGGGTAAGGTTCCCTTCAATGTGACTCAAATTCTTTGTCTTTGGCATGTATCCTCACATTCCTGAGTAATTTCTCAGTGTACACATGCACTCTCTCACACAGACACACTTGATGCTGCCTGTCCACAGCAAGGACCTTTGACCATTCCCTCTCCGCAGAGTGCTGCAGTCATTGTCGCACAGAGAAAGCCATTCATGGTGCCCTCATTCCTGCAGTCTTGTGTGCGGCACAGCTGGCCGGGTGCGGGGCTCGTCTGTATAACGCAGCAGGCCCCAGCACGTTCCACACCCCTGAGGCGCTACTCGCAACCGCCGAGGTTGCTTCACTATTCACACAAAATTCCTACTCGCGCGTCCTTTGACCCATTTCTCCCAAACACAGCCTTTTATCAACAATCCACCCTCAAGTCCGCTGTATATCACACGGGATACATTCTTTTAAAATGTAGATATACCGCTCCCTCTGTACTGTCAGACCCATGGGGTGTAAAGCTCTCTTTTTAAGTCTTCTGTCCCTCTCTTCAGTAAAAGCAGGGGTCCAGGCTAAGATTACAGTAACCGGCATGAGCGGTTATCTTGTGGGGCCCGTCTGCTGAACAGGCCATGAAGATCAAAGTGAGGTGTCCGTCTGTATTATGAAACATTAGGGCCCAGCTCAAATTGAAGACATACCTCCACCACCACCCCCTAGTATCTCTTCCCCAGACAGGCTCCACGTGTCTTGAGAGCAGGCAATTACTCGCATACCCTCCTCACTTTTCATCTCTCATTTCTTCTCCCCTTTCCCTGCAAACAGTGCAGGATTTTGCGATTCCTGTGCCAAGTCGTAGGTAGGCCTACAGGTTTAGAGTGTAATTGGTGTGAAAATGTACGAGAGGGCAGACATACTGCAGACGAGCGAATGCAGAGAGAACTTGCATCGGCTGCGGGGCGTCGGCGATGCCTCGCTTCTGTGTTACTATTTCCAGGACTCCACTCTGGCATGTTTCAAAGGATGCAAAGCACCATATTAGTGGTATATTGTCAAGGATCCCAAAGGGCTCATTAAGAATCTCCAAGATATGATTGTTGGTATTTTGCCTCTATTTTTGTTATGAGAAGAAAATGATGTCCAACGTATTTGGGCTGTTTTAGACCGAGTTTGACAGGGCTGGCTCTGGGATTTCTAAAGTAGCTCTCCACATGAGCGCTAACTGTGGGAATAAGAAAGCAAGAGGATTAGCAAGTAGAAAGCGGTGGAAACTTGGACGGGTTAATGTTGTAATAAATGAAGAGGAAAGCTCAGCTGTTTCTGTCGAAATATTTCACATTAAACAAGTCCAGGTGGTTTGTTGTCCATGCCGGGACATGCTTCTGTAGGTACATAACCGCGGTGCATGGTGGCAATCAGGCATCTCTTTTGTTTTGTGACGTGACGCAGATGTGGCAGAGACATTTTTAGCCTCCCTCCTTCACTTTCTTTCACTCACTCCCTTGCACTGCTACTTTTTTTGGGTGTGTAGCACAATGCAGGAAGTGTCTAGGCCGCAATACCGCAGGGCCCTAACTGCACGGCAAACCTAATTAAAAGGTTTTTTTCTTTGGTCTTCTAATCTGGAATAGCTGACCTGGACTGGGAGGTTGCTTATCTAGTGGCTCTATTCCTCCCTCTCAACCTTCACCCTCAATGTAAGCAAGCAAGTCAGGGAAGGAGTGGGTGGTGTTGGAGGGGGGGGGGCAAACACGGTCCTCGGTGCGCAGCTGAACAAACAGGTCAACTAGCTGTGGAGCATCTGAGAGGGCAGGGCGCGTTACTTAACCCCTGCTGCCAGGACATCGCTGAGATGCTGCAGGTATCTGCACTCACAATCTATGGCCTCAACGATGACAAAGCACGGGACCCTAATCCACTTGGACATATACTGTATTATTAACAAGCAAAGAACATCATCTTGTCAAATGGGCGTAGTGGCTGGATGGGAACCTGCCTCTGGCTCATGTCCTCTATGCCAGTTGAAACAAAAGCTAAAATAACACGAGACCGCTCATAAACACACACAAAGCTGTCGGACAAATGGAGGAAAAAAATAAATCTGCTAAGCAATAAAGAGTTATTATATTCAGTCACGCTTTTTATTAAGCCAAAAGTATGACTAATGTAGAACAACATGTTATATACGCTCACGTGCCAATAGGAGTCAGCGTCGATCAGTTTCCCTTGAAGGCATGATCCTGATGTGCATAAAGGTGAGAGATTCTCTTGATGAGTCTCTTCTGGCTTGGTCTGATGAAGGCAGCCCCCGTACACCGTGTGGATTTAACCCTGTGTGTGAGTGTTGTTGCTAGACACCGACACAGTGGGGCTGTAATGTGTCGAGGGGGTTGGTGGGTCAGCATGAGCATGGAAGCTGCGTGGCCGTGATTCACTGTGACAGCACCGCCTGGCATGTGAGGACAGCAGGCCAGGCGGGCAAGGCTGCTGCCTTTGATCTTTATTTGCTCCACCGTCTGTTTTGCATTTAAGAGCCTTGCTGAGCGCGAGGCATTGGATACACCTTGAATGGCTCAGGACCCCGTCCACTTTTTAAAGACCCGGGATCCTTTTTCAAAGCTAAGGGGATCCAGGACAGAGAGGGATGATGTTTGAAGGGGAAGGTTCTGTGCCGAATAGCCAGAGGGTCTCCCGGCAACACAGATTAGCCCTGATGAAAAGAGAGTGCTCTGTAAAAACACGCGACCAAGCTAATGGAGAATGGTGTGAGTGTGGGTGAGGGGCAAGGTAACATAGATATGCTGTTTTTAGATGGACCCTCAAGATCAACCCCGGGGTCAGGAGGCTGTGGAACAAAAACAAACATGCACAGCACCCCCCCCACCCACCCAACCAACCTTCTGCTGCTCCTCCTGACCCGTCAAATACATTTTGCACGTCAGTGATGTCAACGGACTGTGACATCTTACACCGGAGAGGCAAACCGGCTGGATACCATCAAAATGTCGTCCTATCCCACAACCAGGCATGGTGCACTGACAGGGAGGCATCTCTCTCTTCAAACGGTGCACGTATTTATCTTCCTGAACATCTCTATTGCACATTCCTCGTGGACACCAACGTGGCCACGATCCAGAGCCAACAGCTGGACAAACTTTTGCCCTAGAGACCGACACAATTAATATAAATAACTGCCCCTCTAATAAAAGGCGGTATGATGATTCAAAAGCATTGACAAACTGGGTTATGTACAGTATATCCAGACTAAAAAAGTGTCATGAATTAAACATTTATTGGGTTTGTGTGTGTGTGCGCATGTGAGGGATGCACACACACTATTGTAATAGTCATTGAGGTTCCTCACAGAACCACAGACGTACTATATTTCCTCTCAAATGTTTCAGCAACCTCACATTCATTCTGGAGAATTATTTTTATGCTCCAGTTACTCCAGCATGTCATTTATTCCCAGACTATACATGTTTGGCAGTCCACAGTGCATGATCATGATCTGCATGCTATCTGTTTGGGTTCACACAAACTGTTCTCCTCCTCTGAAACAGGTACCGTTGGACGAGTGTGTGTGTCATGTCACAGAGTTTAAAAGACGAATGATAGACACAGAGGTGTAGCAACATAGATTTTATTTACTTTTTGAGCACTGTATTGAGCTGTGCACATATCATTTCCATAGCTTATACCATTTAACATAAGTTGCATTTCAAGTAAAGAATAAAAAGCTTTTGTTGAGACAGGAATTCTTAGCAGTAACTGAGTGAAACAGCAAAACCAGAGGAACTGATCATCCCAACAGAAAGTTAGACCCTTACTCCTTTCAAGTAAAATTCTCAACAGCGCCAATTCATTGGCTTGATACATAACTTAGTCATTGGCTGTTTTTTTTTCAGCAAGAAAATACATGTCTCTGTCATTGTGACTATACAAATATAAATTGTGATTTTGAAATGATGACTTAACAGTCATGTTTGGCATTGGGGTCAAATGCTGCTACCTGAGCCCGTATGCGTCAGCATATCCTGCTTCTTGATCAACTCTACGCCCAGTCCAGAGAACACAAAGTGGCTTACTGTAGATTTTGCACATGCAATAGCTAGGTATTCACATTTTAAAACAATCAAAGCAAAGCATTCTATGGCTGAATGGTTATAAACTGCATCGTGATGTACGATGCACATTATGCTACATGATACAGTATGTTGGAGGATTAATAATGATACGTGTGTACGAGCACATGGAAGTTGATCTGTACGTGTGAACATTGTAAATTGATGTTTATCATGACTGGTCAACTCTCACAGCTATAAATGCTTCACTCGTTAACAATTATGTTGAGTAGCAGGCATTCCACAAGGTGCAATCGGACATCTTTTTTTAAACTTTAAAAGTACTTTAAGAACAAAATAATGCTTGAAAATAGTCACATCTGTTCAGCGATACAAAAGAACATGGACAGCCACCCTGTTTTCCTAAATCATAGCTTATATACAAAAGGAAAAGGAGTAGGGAAAGGAAAAGAGTAATAAAGAAAAACTGGTGCATCAAGTCTAATCCAGGTGACACTGGAGAGCTTGGGGGGGGGGGGGTTATATAGAGTACATGCTGGAGGCAGACAGTGGCAAAGGGAAGTCCTGTAAGTGCACTAAGTAGAGCCTAACACGCCTCCCTCCTTCCTGGGCAGCTGCTAAAACAGCTAAAGTTGATTACTTCTGGCTTCACAAAGGTGTCGGGGACGTGGGGGCGTGCGTTTGTGCTCCCTTTGCAAACCCTTTGAAAAGGGTTTGCAAAGGGAGTATCGCGGAAGAAGCCCAGAAGGAGGGCGGACGCGGCTCACTCCACTACGCTCGTCAGTCGACACACACCTCCTTCGATGGCCAAGCACTGTCCAGGAACCGTCCCAGGTGGTAATCTGGATATGTGTGTCTGCAGGTAACAAAGGGAGACACACACACACATGCACACACAATGACACCATCATCTAGGAGAGATATACAAACAGAGGCAGCGCTACATGGGGGAAAGGAAAGGCTAACAGGGCTTTGCTCTCTGGAATTCCTGTAAAATGTCTGATGAGTTATAGATGATGGTTAACTTTGCTTGCGGGCATTAATACTGAAAATAGCAGTGTACAGTAGATGTGTTCCCACAGGTACCAAAGAGAAGATGAAACGCGGGACCAGGAAGTCCAGTTTGAGACAAACATCCATCAGACATATGATGGATTATCGGACGCATTGCACATTTATAACACAAGGACTTTAGAACTCTGAAAAGTTATTCATGATGACAATAATGACACAAGTATAACTTAAATACTATTAAAGATGAGAGTGAAAAATAGTGTGTTTGCAATGGAATACTACTGTTGCATCAGGAGCATGTGCCCCTGAAGTGTGACGATGCCAAGTGTGTATCTATAGAGAGACAGAGTGAGTGGATAAAGGGAACAGACTGCTAGTGTTTTGTGTTTGAGCCGAGACAGAGAGGAGTTAGAGGAGGAGGAGAGGGGCAAACACAGCTGTGAAGACAGGAGTGATACTTCAACTGGGGGATCAAAGGTGACCGACTCTCCCTGTGCCAATAATGGCTGTCGTCGTCCTCCTTCCCCTCTCTCCACAGAGGGCAACACTGGCTCCAGCCTTGGGGGAAGAGTCCATCCACTTATTGACCAGGCCACTGAATTGGCCTGACATCACTCTGCCAGTCGCAGGAGCCTTCATCTCTACAGGACTTCCTTTTGTGTAGGCTTGGACTACGGCCCCTGGCACCCCGAGGGCAACTGTCACTACAATGGGACAACAGCCAGACAGGGCCATGCACACATGGCAACACTCTCAGGGGCTATTATGCCTCCAGTAGCCCTTTCTGGGTCCGGTCTCTGCCCTTCATCTTCTAAAGATGAGGTTAAAGAAAGGCCCCGTTTAAACTGTTTTGACTGAAGGTCCATAGCTGAGACTTAATCAACTAACGGTGCCGGGTTCTGCTTTTGATGTTTGCATGTCAGAGGGAAGGAGCTTTTGCAATGTTCTTTTAAATTCCAACCACATTGACTACACAGCTGAAAATACACTACCGGGCACCATTAGAGCCCAGCTGCATGACTTCATATATTTTGCAAGAAAACTGTGTCTGACAATGACACCGATGTGCCCTAACCCTCACCCCAACACACAACCCTGCAGCTTGTGTTAAGACCTTCATTTTTCAATCTGACAGAACGGACAATTTGACTGTATAAGCAGGAAGGGGTAAAAGGCTTACTGAACAAAACCAGGGAGTCATTACACCACCACAGGCCTAAGAGCATTGCGTGCCTTTCACAAGCTGCCGCGCTAATTCAGAAGTCTAGGTTACAGGGAACCAGTCGAGAGGATAGGAGTGCTTCACGCAACACATCAGGTCGGGTCACCATCAGACATATATAATGCTGTAGCTAACCTTTACTATCACTCTCATTCTATATGTGGATTATTAGCATGCAGCACATTCACATGAAGGATAAACAACACAGTAAAGTACTTAGATTGAAACCGTGCTGTGCTGGTCCAAAGAGTTATATTACCACTTCAATCACAAACGTGATCTCAGTGAGAGAACACCGATTTGAACTGATTTTAGGATTGTCTGTTCGTGGACGGGATGTTTGTCTCTCCTTCACAATGTGCAAAATCAATAACCTATCATTTTTTGTGGAGGAATCCATGTTTAAAGAAAAAGCGTAAACAAATTATAAAGTCAGCGGGGGTTGAAAGAGGAGCAAAGAAATAACAGCTGGGCTACGAGGACACGCAAACCTACAGTGAGCCTGTTGTCATCACGATACCCAGTGACTGAAATGACCACATGACAGGACTACGGCTGGGACAAAATATACGGCGACAAACACAGCTCTTTGTATCCGTCGCAGAAAAACAACATTCTTTGGAAATATGAACGTGTTTAGGAGGTCAAGAAGCCACACATCAACACCACAGCGTCGGCCTGATGATCAATTTAGCTCTGTGACTCTGCCGCTGGTTCTGTGTTGTGGTTTTTCCACACTCTTTTCTTTTGAAATACACCAAAGGAATTAAAAAACAATCATATGCTATTTATTCTCCATGCGAGATGGATAGTAAAAACAAAATGTACCATAATAAAAGACATTTGTCCTGTAATATACAAAGCAGACAATAACCAGGAGGCCATTTGATTTCCTCCGGCGCAATTTGAGTAGCAAAAGCTTTATAGTGGTAATGATGTCCAGGAGGAGGGAACTGAGCCATCGTGGTGCTGCTGTGGATCCTACACGTCTCTTTCATCTCTACAATCATGACAAACAATAAAACAATAGTTTTAGAAGTGCCGCCACTGGCCTGTCCATGTAGCTTTGTGTAGCTCTGTAAAACATGGCTTGATGTTCTGATGTGCTATCCAGCGCCAACACAGGTGAGTAATTGAACAAAACCAGATGCTCTCCCTCTGCAGCACTTCGGCCTTGTAGATATTTTACAGCGTAATGTCAAAAGGATTAGGATACAGACTCAACTTAACTGTCCCCAAAACAACATGTGAGTGAAAGGTATGAAAAACCTCAGGGGAACTGCCAGCGCCGTCTCTGAAACATTGGTCTGACATCCAAGACACTTTGGTCTAAACAGCAGAATGATTCACTGTTCTTCTGGGTTTGTGAAACTGTTTGTTTGTCAGAAAGAACACATCAATACAAATCTCTGCATCAAAACGTGAAAGAGAAGTAGACTTACAATCTAAATCCAGTCTGACCTCTGTCCTAAATACTCTCCTCTGCTACTGTGCATCCGCCCTTTCATGTTCTTATCACAGAAAAGCAGAGGAAGACGGACTCTAGCTGGTTAGAAACACCCAGAGGGATGCGAATAGGAATGGGAGGAATGTCTGTAACAGCAGCTGAGACTGTGGATGGGTCTGGCTCTATATGCAATCTCTGCAACTCAGTGCACCGATATGTTTTGCAAGTGCTTAAAACAGGATGAATTATTCAGGCAATCTATTAAAAGTGCAATGGGAACACTAATACTTATTACGTTTTCTTCAGCAAGCATTTATGACAACACGATCTTCATTGGAAGAACTGTTATGTATGTACTGCATGTCTTGCTGCAGCTTGGTAAACAGAATTGACCCTAATCTCTACTGCTCCCAATGCTACAATGCAAGATGACAATTTCAGGAGGGCTGAAGTTAACCCTTATGTTTATCCACACAACGTGCTTCGGACACTCAGTTTTGACGTCCGCAGACATAAAAGTGCCACCTCCTGGGCCTCCATGTCATACAGACAACTTTCTAGACCGAGTTCGCAGACAACAGGCATCATGACTGGAGCCGGGTCGCATTAAGGTTCCCATCTCTGGCTTTTTGAACTTCACCAGATTGGAGAGAAAACAGATGCTCTCTTATTGAATCCTCTCTCAATGGAGGAGGATATTTTGGCAGCGAGCTGGGGGCCAGCTCTGGGCCCAGCTGGGGAGCAACGGGTAAAATCTTGTTTTGCGCCCAGAGTGGAGGCGCGAAGAGAGACGGAACATCCAGTTTTCTCTGGTATGCAGCCGATGAGGCACATGGGAGCTTCGTGGAGCAGTGTGAGGTTCGGTGGAGCAGCTGTGTTCTTGGCTGCACTCTCCTCCTCTATGATCTAGTTGATATCAGCACATTACTTCTGCTTCACCAGTCCCAGGATGTTAAATTCACTCCCTTGCACCTGCAATCTATTCTGATTACCACATACAGTAGATACCACTGCACTGCTTTACCCGTCACTGTCAATCATGAACCAGAGACATTGCGGAGGAATTGACGATGTTAGTTTGTGCCACCAATAATATCACCCTCAGCTAACGCCTGCTCATCCAGCTATACATACATTATGTAACACTGTACACAAATCAAAAACAAACAAACAAAGACACGATGGAAAGCGCCCCTGAACAGCACACAGTTCACTGTGTTCCGCTCACCTCCTGACGTTGGCACAGGCGTGAAAGGGGAGCTCGCATGCTCACATTCCACCACAAAGCCCGATACACAGAGGACATCTGACAAATATGCAGATTGATACCGATATCCCCGGTGGTGCATGACTTTCAGTAAACTTTATGCTACTTTAGGACCAGGTAGGGCCAGAGAGGGGGAGAGACGAGAGAGATAGACCAAGAGCCAAAGAGAAGGGGGGGGGGGGGGGGGGGGGGGGGGGGGG